CCAACTGTATTATGTTATTTTTGTCTGTTTATTTCAGTGGTATGCAGTGGTATATGTTTACAGTCTAAAGTTCGGTTTCCTTTCCTTGAGGGCTCATTCACACTATGTCAGGAAATCTGTATTTGTATACACCTGAGCAACGCAGGTCTGCACAAGAGCACCTAGAAAACAATTATGTTTTTATGTGCCCTGTCCGCACCTCAACAGAGCAGAAAGGTGCAGAGCAGAGAAGTGAGGGAAAATGCAAAGTCTGCATTATTCTGGACTGCACCAAAGCTTATCTGAAATCTCTGTCCGTCTGCACAGCTCTGCACAGATATGAATGAATTGTGATGTTGAAGTTGAAGTGCAACTGAAGCCAAAACTTTTTTTTTATTGGAAGGAATGGAATGGGATTAGAACATCTGTCAGGTTTTTATTACTGTCTGTGTCCCTGTTAAGGAGATTCACCCTCTCTATTTGTCCTGGTGACCCCTATCTCTGAAAAGTGAAAGAAAATCCCAAATTTTGGGTATTGATCAGAACAGGAATTGATGGGGAAATCTTCCAATGGGTGACCTTGCTGACCACCACGGATTTCCCACTTGTTGCGCTTTTGTCACATGAAGTTTCCTATTGAGGTCTATAGGACCAAAAAGCACTGTAATCTTTCAAAAAGTAACTCATGTATTTCTTCCAGCTACAGGCGTTTTTCTGCTTGCGACAAAATGCTCAGATGTGAACAGGGGCCATAGAAATTAATGGGATTCCTTGTTTTGGGTGTTTTGTCTCGCATAAGACGAGCAAATGGGATTCCTTGTCTTGAGAATTTTGTTGGACTTATCTTTGAGTGACAAAACACCTAGGTGTGAACGAAGCCTGAATATGACTGATATCTGCGCAGTGACTATATAAACTCCACAGAGCAGATCTGTGTCACAATAACCATAGTCACCTAAAATATATTATAAATGTAGCCCCTTTATTATATAAATATGCCCTCATGCTCTCATTTTCTTCAACCGTAGACCCTGAAAGCTGATATGATGAAAGAGATGGCTTGTGGGAATTCAACTTATACTGTGTTTGATTTGGTCCGAACCAGAACTGTGCGCAGAATATCCTTTGCTGTGAGCTTTGTGTGGTAAGACAACCGTCAACATTGGCACACCCCTAGTACATATACTCATAGTTATCAAAAAGTAGACGTGAACTGGTTTATTTTAATTTAAAGCTAGAATTTCAGTTTTTGACATATAGGTCCACAAGGCAATTCTGTTTTTTAAAATGGCCTGTATGAAAAATCCTTGTAAACTTCCCTGGGTACTGGATAAAATGACCCTATCAGGTGACTACACTATATTGCAAAAAGTATTGGGACACCCCTCCAAATTATTGGATTCAGGAGTTCCGTGAAATTTCCTTGCTACTAAATATTCCACGGTCAACTGTTAGTGGTATTATAACAAAGTGGAAGCAACTGTGAACAACAGCAACTCAGCCAGGAAGTGGTAGGCCACGTAAATTGACAGAGCGGGGTCAGCGCATGCTGAAGTGCACAGTGCGCAGAAGTGGCCAACTGCAGAGTAAATAGCTAAAGACCTCCAAACTTCGCGTGGCCTTCAGATTGGCACAACAACAGTGCCCAGAGAGCTGCATGAAATGGGTTTCCATGGCCGATCAGCTGCATCCAAGGCTTACATCACCAAGTGCAATGCAAAGCGTCGGATGAAGTGGGGTAAAGCACGCCGCCACTGGACTCTAGAGAAGTGGAGACGTGTTCTTTGGAGTAACGAATCACGCTTCTCTGCCTGGCACTCTGATGGACATATCTGGGTTTGGCAGATGCCAGGAGAACGGTACTTGCCTGACTGCATTGTGCCAAGTGTAAAGTTTGATGGAGGGGGGATTATGGTGTGGGGTTGTTTTTCAGGGGTTGGGCTTGGCCCCTTAGTTCCAGTGAAGGGAAATCTTAAGGCATCAGCATACCAAGACATTTTGGACAATTTCATGCTCCCAACTTTGTGGGAACAGTTTGGGGATGGCCCCTTCCTGTTCCAACATGACTGCGCACCAGTGCACAAAGCAAGGTCCATAAAGAACACCTTTGGGATGAATAAGAGCGGAGACTGCGAGCCAGGCCTTCTCCTTCAACATCAGTACCTGTCCTCACAAATGCGCTTCTGGAAGAATGGTCAAACATTCCCATAGACACACTCCTAAACCTTGTGGACAGCCTTCTCAAAAGAGTTGAAGCTGTTATAGCAGCAAAGGGTGGGCCAACTCAATATTGAACCCTACGGACTAAGACTGGGATGCCATTAAAGTTAATTTGCGTGTAAAGGCAGGCGTCCCAATACTTTTGGCAATATAGTGAATAAAAGATAAAAGCTCCCTGCACTAGAATAGCTTTATACTCACCTCTACTTTTGCTTTATTCCAGTGCTGCAGCCTCCACCGGTATCCTTGCCACTCACTTCTAGGAGTGTTGGTTTGTCCCCACTTCCCACCATGGTTTCATCCTCTGAATTCTGCAGTTCTAACCCCTCCCTGCTCTAGCTAAAACTAAAAACAAAGGTTGGAGTTGTGCTTTAATGGTCTGTACTTTTCTGTACTATAGTGTGCCTTTCTGTGCTTTAACAGGTTCTCTACTAGTTTCGCCTATTATGGATTAGCAATGGACCTACAAAAATTTGGAGTCAGCATCTACCTTATCCAGGTTATCTTTGGGGCTGTCGATTTTCCAGCCAAGCTAGTTTCTACCACATGCATGATCTACATTGGCCGAAGGGTCACACAGTTCTTTTCCCTCTTCCTTGGAGGGCTGGCAATCCTGGCTAACATCTTCGTACCAGCTGGTAAGCATGTTATTGGCACATCATTAAAATAACTGCATTGAAGAAATTAACAATCTTTTGTCTTTTTAGAGCTGCAGACACTGAGGACCAGCTTTGCAGTGTTTGGAAAGGGCTGTTTGGCTGCTTCTTTTAGCTGTGTTTTTCTTTATACCACAGAACTTTATCCTACAGTCATCAGGTAGGTACAACCAGGCATGATCTGTCCTGAAAAAAAAAGATTAATGTGAACAATACTTTAACTATAGGATTTGTTTGAAGGATTGGTGTTCTTGATGCTAGCCATACATGGTTTTATAATTAAAGCTGAAGTCCAGGAAAATAAAATGTTATACATAAATACAGCCAGGTAGTAATTAAAGGAGAACTATGGGGTCAGTGCTTTTCCCCATATTTCTCCCCAGGGTCACGGGAGGACACAAACTAGCGTCCTCCCGTGACCCAAAGCTCAGTATCGTGGTATACTGAGACCATCACGGCTCTCTGCAGGGACAGGATCGAGAAGTGAGCGAGTGACGGTATGTGTTTGCTCACTTCCCGATCTATTGAGCCGATGTGTGACAGCTTCATTGTCACACGTCGGCTCGAACTATGAGGCTGAGTGATTTTCACTCACCTCATAGTTCTCCTTTAATAAATCTGTAAGTGTATTTCTTGAATGCAACTAGTGTAAGTACCTGAATTTGATTTGATATCAGTCTCCTGCAATCCCCTATACAGCAGCAAATGTGCTGACAAGGAACATGCTGATAGAAGAAAACAGAGTGAGAAGAGGGCTGAGCTCATCTATTTCTGCTCTTTCACTAACAAGTCAAAAGCTGGGGGTGGAGAGAGGACACCATTGTATTTGATAATGTATGTATAGCCAAACCTTTTTTCTGTTTTGAGTAGAGTAGGAAAGGGTTAAAGAAGAACTCCATGCAGAATAAAACTTAACTCTTGCAGTGGGGCTACCATGCCAGATTATTTTTTCCTATCTGTTTACCATTGAGGAAACATCCCTACACTTCCTGTTCCAGAAAGGCAACAGTTTGTGAGTGCAAATCTCTGAAAGTGCGAGGAATCTCCTTCTCAGCACTGAAAATACAAATTCTTTGGCAGCTAAGACAGTTCCAATATGTATACTTTATCAGTGTATTAAGCTGTTTTCCTGGAGTTCAGCTTTAAGAAAGAAGCTTGTGATTTTGAGTCTTTTCAGAGCAAAATAGATCAATAACAAGTGCTTAGGTGACCATTGCAGTGGGAAATTTTGCAGTTTGTATGTATGCAGAAAAGTAAAGTCTTAGATCTATCATGTATGTGTTAAGCTAGGTTAGGGTTGCCACCTTTTCTTCAAGTGAAACCCGAACACTCTAGCGACGCGCTGACATTTTTTCTTGGGAGAATGAGTCGTGGCTTATTCATATGTAAATAGTGCCACCCATTCATATGTAAATATCACAGTTGAGACTATTTTTTAGTGGGGGGGCCAGTAGCCCCTATCTTCATTTTGGTGGCCCCTGTCTGCCTGACATCTTGTGTCCGGGTTTCTGCTGCCATGAAACCCGGACACAGCATCTAAAACCCGAACTGTCCGGGTGAATCCTGGACAGGAGGCAACCCTAAGCTAGGTACACACGGATACAATTGTTGCCAGAAATTGTCCGAAATTCCTTCCATGGGTGACCTTATCTACTCAACAAAAGTCAATCTATAGATAAACTTTTGTTGAAGGGATAATGATAATGGCAGGCCCTAGCTTTTGTGTAATGGTGGGCAGATATCTTCTTGTGTTTCTACTACTAATCTTGGTTGTTGACATAAACCCCTGTTGGCATATCAACTGCCATCATTGCTATGGACTATGGACATTACTGCTTAGATCCCCTAACTGTACTTGGTGCTGACAACAGTGTGTGTGTCTCGGTGCTTCATTAAACTTAACAAAACATACTTTACATAAACATCTGGATTGCTTCAAATGCCAGGGCTACTTTGTAGGTTTGTAGTTTGGACATGAGTCACATTGAATAAATAACTTGGATACTTATTTCCCAAAGGGAATCCACTACTTGCAAAAGCAATAACCACTTGGTCTTTTGCACCACTAGGTGTTGCTGCTGTTGCATCTGCAATTAGTAAGAAGCCCTGCAGTCTGAAAACATAATTTTATAGTTTTAACACTTCTATTAAATCTATTATTTATCTTCTATTTTGCACAGGTTTATTTAAATGTCATGCAGGAAGGCATTTCAGTAAATATTTACTTATGTTTTTAATTACTTTACTGACCTGATATGTCCACTGTGATAAATTTCATTATGTATTTAAAAGCAAGTTAAAATGAAGATAACCTAACCCTTTCTCTAAAAAAATGACTGCT